GCTATCCATTAAAAAAAATGCCCAGTAAGCCTTAGACATACAAGGAAGCACCTACGGGCTAAGGAAGTTTTAATCTGACGTGTAAAACAAATAAAACAAGCTATGTAATAAGAAGTACAATTCCCAAAAAATAAATAAATAAATAAATAAAAAAAGGCTAAAAAAAGCAAATCACATTTATAAGAAAGTATTCAAGTTTAAGGGAATGAGATATCTTTCCATGGTGCATTGGTGCAGCAGCACCCGGTTCTTCTGTTATATAAAGGGGGTAAAATAGATATTTTAATAACAAACAGGGATAAAATAGTCATTTAGTATGAGAGGGACTATGATTTGTTTAGATAGTCCAGAACCATTTTAAAAATTACGCAAGGGAATTAGAGCATACCATGAGAAGACAGGGAGCTAATGTGAGATTATTTATCGGGCACCAACGTTTTTTTTATGGCCTTTTAGTGTAAATGGAAGAGTAAAAGTGAAAAAAAAAATAACAAGAATAAAAAGAGAAAGCAAAAATTAATGTTATGAGAGGGAGCACCAGATTATTAGGTGATCCTGGACCATAATAAATATTTTCCCAATAAAAGGTCGACCGAATTATACACGGCAAGTTACCTGTTACCTGTATTTGCTACTTCGTCAGAAAAAAAAATTCTAATTTTCTTTGTGCATTTCTTTTTATTTTTTTACCCAAGTGAAAATTTATTTACCGAAATGTCTTGTTTTGATAAAAGGAAATGAATAATTACTTTTATGATTTTATTAACTACTTATCACGTGTAATCTTAAATTTAATATATTAGTGAGTTATGAAAAATTATAAATTATTATGTAGGAGTCATTCATTATGAATAATTTACGTTAATCAATCTTAAAAACATATAAGTTGACACCTGCTTTTTAGAGTTAATAAATATTAAAAAAGTATTTAAAACGTACATATATCTTATTTGACAAAGCAATTAATTAAGCCTTATTAGTAAAAACTCGCAATTATTTGTTATAAAAATTTTCTCAGATGATCTTAACATATTAATTTTAAATAAGATTGTTGCGGTTTAAACCTTTGTAATTAGTTGTTCTCCTTTTTTTGGGTACAGAATTAGTTGTTCTTTTTTTTTTTTTTGGGGGGGGGGGGGGGGGTAAAGAATTAGTTGTTCTTTTAGTTTAGTACGTAAAGCATAATTACACTCAAGTCTTAAAGACTAAGGCCAATAAATTGTTAGTTACATAGCAAATTGTTTGTTTTGAATGTTAGTAACTAGTGGTTAAAAGGCACCGGTTAATATTAGTGGTTAGTGGTGTGACTTGGTGTGACCTTACGTAGTCCATGGATATTGTTCACTACTGATAACGGAGAACTGAACTGATATAATCTATTAATGTTGTCCACTTCTTCATCACTCATTGGAGTGGTTCACCTGCTTTTGGTTTTGGTCTGCAATCATCTATAATCATCAACCATTAATTTGGTTCTTGTCTGTCATCAATTGATCTTATCTTCATAGCACTCTTGAATAGACTCTATAATGGAAGAGTCTATAAAAGGGTGCATCTTCAGCTTTATGAGTGACTGAGCTCACTCTACTAAATGTACACCATCTGTGTTGTAAAGAAGAGTTTAAAAGACTCAAGTAAAGATTTTCGTATCAATTACAGAAACTACTCAAAAAAAAAAAATGGCCATAGATATTTATGATCTATTATATTTTGTATTTCAGTAGAGGTTAGGACTTACATTGAATACTAATTTCTCACGTGCCTACTAGTATGCCCACTTTCAGTTTCAGTCTTATGTGTTGCTTCTTCTGCCTGACTCAATTTTTTGTTGTTGTGCATTGCAGACTTAGTTCTAGAGCTCTGAAAGGCAAAGAAATTGAGCTGATTTTAAGCTGTTATCCTCTATTAATAATGGGGAATATTAATCTTATGTTACATGAGAGTATTATCTATGCTATAGAGAGAGTTTAAGTGGGGTCCACCATTAAAAAGTAAAAAAAAAAAAAAAAAAAAGGCTGCGATTTTCGATGTGAGAGAAAATGAGATAATTACCTCATGTAAAATGAGAATAGTATTTCCCATTAATAATAAGTAATGTTGTATTTGTACTATTGGTTTTATTTATCAGTGCTTGTAATTAATACTAAATATTATATGAAAAACAGCTTGGGTTGAAGAAACGAATAATTGAGGTAGTAGTCATATCCAATGTCTACCTCGTAGAGTCATAGTGGTCAGTGTGAAATGTAAGTTCTGTCTAGAAATCATAAAAAATAATACATATTGAGTTGATGACAATCTAAATTATGTATAATCACATCACAGAATCAATCGCCAAATCATCAAGGTATGCAAGTTGAGCCAAGGAAATTTGAGGAGTCCATGTAGATGTAGATCATGTTGTGCATTGCTATCCACGTTTTTTTTTTTTTTTTGGTAAGCTATTGCTATCCACGTTTTAGTAATAACCAAGTGCATCGTGCAAACAAATAAACTGCTACTAATTATAAAAGTCATGATTACCCAGTTCAAATTTTAGTTCCTCTGTTTATTTTTATTATATATCAATTCTTATATATTCACTCATTTAGATTCTGGTCATTATCATTAAAATGTTAATCCTTGTTTTTTCTGCTCTTATAGTTTGTACTCAATAAGGTACTTGATGCCTATTTATCATGAATAATTAATTGGTCCATTTGATTAATTTAAATTATGAAGGTAGAAAATTCAAATAGATAAAATCATAAGAACCAACATAAAAAACATACATAAGTACTAAATTTCTAGCCGAGTGAAAGTATTAGAACTAATTGTTTATTTTAACAATTTTTAAATCATCATTTAGTATAGTTTTAAGCCAAACTGATAAGCAACATGCAAAGTATATTTATAAATAATTTTAAAAACATGAATTATTTTAGTTATTAATTTAAATTTTTTTCCGTTGAAATGTAAACAATTGAGATTTAAAGTAACCTCACGAGTCCCGACAAAGTTGTTAAAATTGGAGATTGATGATAAATTTAAGAGTAAATATTCTCTTTGGTCCTCGGCAAATTTCACGATATTCGTTTCGTTTTAGTCCCTCACAAATAAAAAGGTCCGTCGTGGTCCTAAAAAATTCAAAATAGACCCATTTTAGTGCTTTTAGGAACTAATATGAGTCTTTTTTAAATTTGTAAGGGACCACGATTTCAATTAAATGAGACTATTTTAAATTTTTTAGAGACCATGACTTTTTTATTTGCTAGGGACTAAAACGGACCTCAAAAAATTTGCTGAGGACTAAAAAATGTATTTACTCTAGATTTAATAGTAATGAAAATAGTAATATATTATTTTAAGCAAATACTAAAATAGTGACTCGTCACTTGCGATTGTCAAAACGTGCGAGATGAGTTGTCCGAATCCAATAGGAAGATTCTAGAAAATTGCAAATAATAAATAATCAATAATCAACCTTATTATGGCTTGGCTGATGCATTTTTTGTTGGACCACCACAGTGATGAGCATATTCCCCCTCCTACTTCCTAATCATATTATTGCTCAACCAACAACCACATTTAGTGGCCAATATTAAATTTATTTTTAAATACATCTTAAATTTTTGTAATGAGAGATTCAATTTCAATTCAATTTGGTTAAAAGCAACAATTGACCATCTCATATTAAACTTTCACGTTACTTTTATACATTTTTTTTTACAAAAATTTAATATCTATCAACAAAGAAATAGAAATTAAATTTTCATGTAACAACGTCATGTAAAAAAAAAAAATCATTTGATGATATCCCCAATTCTGAATAGATAAACAAAATAATGTATTTATCTCTCTATTTATCAAAATTTATAACGAGAGAATTAAGATTACAATAATGCTTTGTCATGTGTGTATCGCTATTTTGATAGACATTAAATAAATAAGGTCCTATATTTTTCTTCACATATTTTCACATGGTTGGAAATTAATCTTCTCATGTCAGTTTTTAAAAAATTTTGTCTATAATCTTCTAAACATGAAATACGAAATACGTGAGACATATATATATATATATATATATATATATATATATATTATTCTTAAAATAGGATATCATAAATTTATAATAATATAGTATTGAACTAGTGTATTACTCATTACGCACGAGAGAAAAAATCAATTTGTTTATTTAGTAAAAATGAACGTAAATTTTAAACAAGTTTTCCTAATATATTTTTTTTGAACATAAACACTTAATTATGCCATGTAAGATACAAATAATAATTTTAACGTGTTTTTTCAGTCTCAAATTAAACGAGGAAACAATACTTTAAAATAATGTATCTATTCTCTTTATAGTCAGATAACAAAACAGATATTATTAATGCGACCATAATAAAATAGAAGAGAGCAATTACTAAAGATTTAATTAAAGAGAAAAATATTTCTGAAACAACTTGAGATAAGTTTATCTTCAGCTATCTCAAAATTACGTCATTTTATTTATTTATTTTCTTACATTAATTGATTCACCTTTGAATGATTATCCCTTTTTCTCTTTATTCTTTTATCACCATTAATTCATCTTTATACGGTTATGATTTAATAGTCGGAGATAAGATTATCTTAAGTAGCTTGAGGAATGATAAGGTCTAATTAAAACATAAAAAAGAAAAAAACTATTCTTATGCAATATAAAAGTAGTTTTATTTTCAATAGACACGTCAAAAATCGTGACACTTTTTTTTTAAATGACAGGCCCCGCCGCATATGTGTCTACAACATAAGAGATCTTCTATGATACAACATCAGATTAGATAAACCAAAAAAAAAAAAAAAAAGTAATTTTTAATTTAATATTAAATGATAGTTATAATAAACTCCATATTAAATGATAGTTATAATAAACTCCAAGCATTGTTACATTAACGACTCTACTTCTTCTCTCTTCATTTTTTTTTTGTTAAACACTTCTCGCTTCATTTTATTAAAGTCATATATAACGTTAACGTTCACATTTATCCACGTGTCTAATTCTCCCGCTCCGTCCATCTATCCGTTAACCTACCCTCTCTCTCTCTCTCTCTCTCTCTCTCTCTCTCTCTCTCTCTTCTGCAACTCCTCCGCCATTGAACTACAAGCACAAATCAAATTTCTTCATTTCGAATAAAGAAAAAAAAAAAACACAGTGAATACGCATTCATTTATCGGAATGGGGAAGCTACTCTGTGATTCAACCACCGTCGCCGAACCATTCCAAGGTTCGCCGCCGGCGGCGCTTCCTTGGAGGGATCCGAAATCGCCGCCGCCGATGGAAGCCATCGGAACCGTAGATCTAGTCGTTCCGGCGAACGTGACGGGTAGCACCTTTGCCGGCGGCTGGGAAGACGTTGTCGGCCTGGAGGAGCAGCAGAGGCGCCACCTGCAGAGGCTCCATGCCAAGGGCGTGCTCTGGAAGCCACCACTGGAAGAGGAAGACTCATCCTCCTCGTCGCCGTCCTCCTCCGGTCTCAGATCCGTCGTCTTCAGCCTCTCCCACGGCGGCGAGGTCTCCGCCGACGGGAACTGCCTCTTCACGGCATCTCGGAAGGCGATGGGAAGCGAGGACGTGGACGCGCGGGAGCTGAGAAGGAGGACGGTGGCGAGGTTCTTGGAGGATCTTGGATCTGCGGGTTTTGAGGAGAGAGACGGGATCGACGATGCGATTCGGCACATGTACTCGCCGGATCTGAAAAACGGGTGGGGGATTCATGTTGTTCAGGAGGTGAAGTTGTTGGCTAAGAAGGAGGATCGATTCGCTCTTGATTCGGCCATCGACGAGCTCGTTCACCTCGGCATGCAAAGGTATTGCTTGCTTCCTTGTGCTCCGTCTTTTCTTTTCTTTTGAATCGACGGATTTTGCATAATCTGGATGTTATTTTCTTGAATTAAAAAGAAGAATTTAAAAAATTAGTTGTTCTTTGTTCAAATTTTTCTCTTACTTTTTTGCATTAATTGATTCTGAGTTTTTTTTTCCTTCTTTTATGGGTTTGAGAAGTGTGGAAAAAAATAGGCATAGAAATGTGCATTGTTAGTTAGATTAGAAAATTCACAGGTAAAATTGTGTAAAGAAGAAAGAGAATGAAGAATAAAAAGTTATTGTTTCTGAACTGCATTTCTTTTTTCCTGCTAAAAATGAGATACTTGTAATAGATACATGTTTTGATTTGAGAAGTGTTGAAATGGGGCATGGAAGTTTCATAATGATGTTTGTTTCGTTTGGTTTTGCTTGTTTTCTTTACTATCTACTTTTTTCTATTGAAGAGAAATGGCGGCGGAGTCTATTTACAAAGAGAGATGTATTCCCGTGAATGATGGTCCAAGTTGGGCCAAATACATGTTGATCTCTGGTTCTCCTGATGATGAATATGATATCATCACTTTGCAATATACTGAGGAGGGTTTGTTATCTGTAGATGAGAATAGAGGAGGTCGTGCCGCAGCTTTCGGAGATGATATTGCAATTGAGTGCCTTGCTACAGAGTTCAAACGAGAGATATATGTGGTAAGAAATCCAGAAGCTTTCAATGGAGACCTGGAATTGCTTTTTAGTGTCTGTGTGTATTCCTGTTGCACAATTTGTTGTATGATCTCTCTGGGATCCCTTACTTTCTTTTAATGGATCAAGTTATTTCGTTGATTTAAGAATATTATTTGACAACAATTCTTAAATTCCTATTTGTGTTAGGTGTGCAGTGTGATGTAGAGAAAAGTTTAATTTCTTTGTTCTGCTGCATGTCAGTTCTCGACTATAAAGCAAATTGAAAATTACGTTAATTTTATTGTAGAGAAATTTTCATAATATATTTTATGTCTAGGGTTTTGTTCTATACTTCTACTGCATCCAGGAATTAAATGAATCACTCCATGATACTCAATTAATTATTAATTGAATTGAATAGTATGAAGCTGGAGTCCTGGCCTGCCATTGCAGATATGTTTGACACTTAATTATTTGTTTGTTTCGGTGCATCAATGAAATATGGTACTGTGTGTTGGAGTGATTACCGACTGTTAGGTGAATGTAAATTATTTGTGGCTTGCTCAATTTCATACTTCTATTTGTAGGCTTTATTATGACCTGAAATCATTGCTTACGAGTCCTTGTAAATGGGAGTTCTTTTGGGGTGATCTGAGTTTCCTGTTTTCCCATTTTTGATATGGGTATTCATCATGAGTTCTGATATAATTACACGTGATATAGTGAAGACTGAATGACATGATCAGGAATCTTAAAAAATGAAAAATACTGCAAATGCAAAATTCATCCCTTTGTGCTGTTTAGTTTGTGCTCACATTCACAAGTAATCATCGGTCATAATGCTTCCAACTGAATTTGTTCGTCATTTTTAGGTTCAAGCTCATGGTTCAGATGCCATGGTTGATGAAGAAAATTGCGTTTTCTTCCTTCCGCATCGTCCAAGGAGCCAAATTACAGAACTTCCCTTCTTCCTCTTTATGAAAGGAACAGGTGAATGGAGATCAAATTTCAATACATATGCTATTTCTGTTCAAGCTTTCAGTAGTTATTTATTTTCGGTTAGGTTATGTTTTCTCTATTTATCGCTCGTTTCATTCTGGACAAAGGTTCAATCAGCAGAAGAGAAAAATTTTATTGTCTTTACCATTTTTTTCATGTTCTATTTTTCTTTTTAAAATTTGAAATATTTGAATATTTCTTCCAATTTTCTAAACAAATTTTAACTTACAGGTTGGTGCGGTGCTGGAGCCGACCACTATGAGCCCCTGATTGCTCATCCATCCTATCTTGTTTCCCAAGAAAAGGTTGCTGTGGTACTGTAAGGCTTCTGGGCCTGCAATTTTGTGGAGTAGAGGTTGAGTAGAATTAGAATTTCTTCACCCTATTTATGGCCCCTCTTAAAATGTTAGGCCTGCAATCTGGTTCTGCTGAGTACTGATTTTGGTCCCCAGGAGAATCTCATTCTGTAGCATTTATTTTGTTACTGACATTTAGAATCAAGCATCTTTGACTCCCTTGACATTTGACAAGCAGGTTAGCCTGCAGTTTGAGCAACCCTAGAGTATTGTAATAGTTTCACCGGCTTCTGTTTTTGTTTTTCCTGTTGTTGAGTTGATTAGAGGGTTACACCGTCTAGGTAGTGATGTGTTGTTGTTCAAATTGGAAGAGTTGTATCTCAGTGGATTTCGTCACATTAATGAAGTGGCTTCTTTTCTGGGCTTCTATAGTCATTGCATTTTCATCGCATTGCATTTTATGGGCTTCTTTTTGCCGTCACATTGAAGTGGATAATGTTGCAATTGTAGTTCTCGAAAAAATTCAAGGTGCATATGTTGTTCAGTGCGACGGTAGTACATTTTTACTATCATATGTAGGCGAATTCTGAGATCTTAGAAATTTGCATAGGATCCGTCTAGGGGTGCACCAAAAATTTGTTCATAGTTCTCTATGTCTGGATGTTGGTAAGCTTTGGAAATGTTATATACGAGCAGCTGATTCATTTTGTATCAATGAAATGTGATTCTGTCATTGTTTTAAAATATGAATAATCATTTCTTGCAATGCAATTTCAGTAAGTTTTTATTCGAAATGGGGAAGGAAATTCGTGAATTCACCTTAGCATTCAAGAAGCACGAATGTAAAGGGTGTAAATTTAGTTAATGATAGATTTTTTTTTTTCAATAAACATTAGGCATGACTTCTTAAATCTACTGGTTTTCAAAAATAATATTACATTCTGTAAATTATATGTTATGATTATCTTTAGGGTAATTGTACTTATCATTATTTTAGATTTACCATTCTTATTACTTATTTAATTACTATTAGATTAATGCAAAATTAACGGATAATCTTTATTGATTCATGAGACTTATTTATTAGTTTATCAAAAAATGAAAATACTCAAAAAAATAAATTATTAAGTAAATTTTAATATGAAATTTGTAATTCTAAATCTTACATCTAAACAGTAAAGTTAAAATTGAACTTAGAATTTTAACTCTGTCCTGTAATTTTTTGCGCAACCCTTAGATAGAATTTATAATTGTGAACTGATTCTAATTTTGATGAAATTTGAATTGAAATTAAAATTTTGAAATATAACTTCAATTCCATCTTCTAAACAGACCCTAAGTGAAATTACTGAAAATTTAAATTTTACTAGTCAAAAAAATATTTTTCATTAATGTCAGAATTCAACTTAGTGAATAAAATTAGATATTGTTCTATTATAAAAGGAAAAAAATAATGGAAAAGAATAAAATGCAATACTCATAAGCAGTAATCTACGAACATTTTTTATTATTCATGATATATTAATAAAATTTTATATTATTCTTTACATTACACATTTATTAATCTTATAACTAAATTAAAAATTAACTATACATCTAATTCTCAAAATTTTCATTTTGAAAAAATAATAATAATGACAATTACAACTGCAATTATAATAATAAGTATTGAGTACAAACCAAATAAAACATTATAGATAATCATATAATGAATGTCTTGATCATCTGCTACTATTAATGTAGATCTTTAGTAACAATTACATTTAGTTTTGATATAAAAAAATTAAAAATATATTACACAACACTAATCAATAAAAAAAAAAAATCATTTATAATCTTCACGTATAATCCTTACACCAATACTATAAGCAAAAGACTACAATTGTGAACATTTTGCAAGGAATGGGTGGGGGGTTTGGTGGGAAAAGAAACGGTAGGTAAATTTTGTCTTTTTAAGTAAATATTTTTTAAATTTAAAAATTTATTAAAGTGAATGAAATAATAAATTATTGTAAAATTTTTAATCATCATTTTAATTTTTATAATCATTTTATATTTCTCTTAATTTACAGATAAAATATTTTCATTCTCTTTTTTTCATCTTCAATAATCCATTATCAAGCTTTGACATAAAATTTTATCTTTAACTATCTTAAATTAGTAAATTAATTAAAGTGCGTTCAAATTGACTCAAAAAAATATAAATCCATGAAATAACTAGAACATATGTAACTTTTGTTGTTGAAAAGCTAGAATAATAATGTTGACGCATGTGAGTTACTTTAAATGTGGATGAGTTGATGGCAACAATGTGAGTTAGAAAGAATTTGAAAGGGTTATATTTATCTCATTTTACAGATGAATAATTTTTCTACACACACAAAAAGGGGTGAGTCTCACTACTCTTTTTTTCTCTTTCCTCTTACCTGTGTGTCTTATTTATAATTTTATTTCTATAACATGAGATAACTTCTTTCGTCAAACATAAGCAAAATATTTTCCAATTTGAAATTGTTACATTAAGGACTAATTGGTCATTTTACAACTCTCATAAAAGAGGTAAAGTTGTATCATTTTAAATGATGTAAAGGTGTGTCATTTTATTAGTACGGGAGGAAAAATATTTACAACTCTTGTAATATTAAAAAAAAATAGAAAAAATGTGTGTCATTTTAAAGAATGTAAAGTTATGTCATTTTAAGTGAGAGAAAGAGATAGATAAAGGAGGAGAGAGTGGATAAAAGAAATAAAGATGTGGATCTCATCTCTTTGTGAGAGTAAAAAAATATAAATTATATCATTTAAAAGGACAAACATTTTCCACTAACAAATAATATGTATTGTGCTACATTCACAGTTTTACACCCACTTAAAAATAATGTGTTTCAATTTCTTGAAAACTTAATTATAACACATTTCATCTAAGATAATTGTAACAAATGAGTCCATGCAATATGAGTTTGAAGATAATAATAAAGAAATGGAAATAGTTAAAGGGAGAAGTTATATTTATTATCTCTTTTTCCTACTACCTCTTATTACCAAATTTTAACCGTTGATTTTCGTCAATCTAACGGTTATAATTTATTAAAAATTAATAATTAATTAATAAGTATGACCCAATAAATTATAACAATTAGATTGACGAAAATCAATAGTTAAGATTTAGTAGTAAGAGGTGGTAGAAAAAAGAGGTAATAACTATAACCTCCCCCTAGTTAAATTAAGGATTGAACGAGAAAATATTTAGAACTCCTATATCCTGTAATGTTTAGAAGTACGTGTTATATCCGAAATATTTTAAATACATCCGTCGCATCATTTTTAAAATGAGATATTTTTTATAATATGTGTATGAAAAAGAGAAATTTTTTTTTTAATCCATGTATCAATTTTTAAATGAAAATCGTATATACACCAAATATAATATACCAGAAGTGCTCTATATTATAAGACAAACTTAATTAACTACATAGTGTAATTAATACTACACAGACTAAAATTTATTATTATAGGATTGCTAAAAACAAATGGTTTCTTACTTTCATTGTTAGGATTGGGCCAAGTAAAACAAAAAACCTAATAAATGGGAGGAATCAAACACCGTATTGTTCTCTCAAGGGAAAGGGACAAGCAGCCCTTCGGAGATCTCAAGGGTCTTCTTCACATTTCCTTCGTTATTTCCTAAGTCACTCTTATTAACCTTTGTCTCTCTTACAACCCTTTCACTCAATTCTCAATTCTCATTCAACAATCAATCGCTTTTGCTTCTTGCAAAATAGACATATATGGCTACGCTTTATTCAACGCATTGCCGTTCACTTCCATCACTGCAATCCTCTTCTTCTTCTTCATCTTCTTCGTCATCGTCGTCACAATCATGTCCTTTGTCGTCCAACCTTGCTTATCTTCATCGCTTGAACTTCTCGAAGCGTTTTCTTGCGGCTAAGGTTTCTATCAAATCTCAACCCCTTAAGCATCAGATTCCGGTCCACACCCAGCAACAAGAAGGTTCTTCCCTTTCATTTTGGTGCTGCACTTTCGATTACGTAGTTATATATATATATATATATATATATATATATATATATATATATATATATGCTGCTTCTTCTGTGTGTTTTCTCATACCCTTTTGTTTATTTCATTTAAATTTTGAATCTTTACTGCTTTTGTAGCATATGTTATATGGCCCTGTACATTCATATCCACCCATTTTATGCTCTCTTTTTTTCAATTTTTTTTTTAAACTATATTTATATCTTTATAATAATTTCTGGACATTGAAATTAAGTTTTACAGTGTGAAACTTTTGAATTGTGTTTGGGAGAAATGAAAGGATTGGAAATATTTGTTTATATTAATAATATACGGTTTGGAAAATCCTTAGTCTTAGTATGCAGATGTCATGTGAATGTAGGTGCAGTAGCTGCGGCTGTGACACCTGTTGAAAATGACACTTCTAACAAGCGATTGAAAGCTGAATTGTTGTCAGTTACATCCTCGGAGGAGTCTCAAGGTGAAGCCAATTTTGAAAAGGATGAAAGTGGGTCCAGTGTTAGTATTACTGTTGTTGGAGCCTCTGGAGACCTTGCCAAGAAGAAGATATTTCCGGCCCTCTTTGCACTTTACTATGAGGGTTGTCTCCCTAAGGTTGGATTTTGATAGATGATTTTCTTTTTTCTTTGTATTTTTTAGAAGATTTGGTTCTATATGTGTGGTTGGGATTGAACTAATGCTTTGGTTTGTGGCAGCACTTCACCATCTGTGGTTATGCTCGAAGTAAGATGACTGATGCAGAGCTTAGAAATACGGTTAGCAAGACCCTCACTTGTAGAATCGATAAGAGGTAATTATTATCTCCAACATGTTCTCTTTGGCTTTAATCTTACAGGGTGTAGTGTCCGCTCAGGTAGTTCCCGGATGATAGTGCTCTCTATTTCTATTTTCTGGGGAGGAGGGTGATTTTAACTTTGGACTTCTCATTGTGTGGACGGAGTTGATGCCATTTATGTTGCTAATTACACAATTTGAGTTTCTATGATTATTTAACTTAATTTCCATATTTATTATGCTTAGGAGACATCTTTAATTTAATGTTTGGGAATTTATGTTGTGGAATTTCAGAGAGAACTGTAGTGAAAAGATGGACCAATTTCTCAAAAGATGTTTCTACCATTCTGGTCAATATGATTCTCAGGAAAACTTTGCAGCGCTAGACAAGAAGCTGAAGGAACATGAGGTGATTAGAGAAAGGGATAATCTTAAATGTTTGTTATCTATAAGATGCCTCCTTGATGCTTGTATTTTTATTGAGAAAGTATACTTCCTGTTAGAGAACACAATTTTAACGCAGGTTAGGTGGAGCTTTGCAGATAATCATTCATGGATCATGAAGTGATTTCACTTTCCTGAATGACATAAAAATGTAAAAGAATAGTCTGATCAAGAATTAATTTTCAACAGAAAGACAAATTTTGGTTCTCTAAAAAGTTATTGGTTCAGCTTAAACAGTATTTTTACTGGATAGTGAGATGTCGCTGTAATAAAATCTTCTTGATGTGTTTGTGCTGTTATCGTTACATTCATAAATAAAATTGTAGGTTGTTATTACGATCCCATTTGCAAGGTATGGGATTTGGAGTCCCACATTGGTTGTATGAGCAACTAATGTGGGGTTTATAAGACCTTGGGCACTCCCACCCTTTGAGCTAGCTTTTGGGGTAGTGCACCTTAAGGTTCTTAGCAAATGGTATCAGAGCCTTCCACTATGCCTCCCGATTGCAATCGAGCGGCGCGTGCGGTAACGCGGGCATTGTAGTGTTCGACCGGGGCTAGTAAAAGACTAGCGCAAAGCCAGCCCGCGTGGGCTGCGAAGCGTGGTGGAATGTTACGATCCCATTTGCAAGGTATGGGACTTGGAGTCCCACATTGGTTGTATGGGCAACTAATGTGGGGTTTATAAGGCCTTGGGCACTCCCACCCTTTGAACTAGCTTTTGGGGTGGTGCACTTCAAGGTTCTTATCAGTTGTCTTCTATGGTTGTACCATGCCTTGCATGTGGGGCTGGTCTTTGGAAGGCCGTGTTAGAACTTTGGACATAGAGATAAAACATTAGGTCACCTGGACGGGTTTAGATCCATACCCCAGGAAGATATTAGTTTTCTGCTGCTTGATATTTTCTGCAAAAGGCAAACACTGCCCTCAATCTGGTTTACTGAAATAGAAGTATTTCCCTAATGTAAAAGAAATACAATTTCTCAATTGTAAGCTAGATCACTTACATATATTGAAAACAGATGAACAGGATGAAGAAAAAGAGGGTGAAGAATAAAGAAAACAAGGAAGAAGAGTTAGAACAAATTAGCTATTATATATCTAGTCATTTCTATAGTTGATATCTACTACGTATTGTGGCATTTTCATTTGGGCTCTGTCATCCGTTAGTTGTGATTTCGTTGAAATTCTAACTTTGTTAATGCAATTACTCACGGATTACTAAATGATATTATTAATGAAAAACCTGTTTGTTCATGTTGCAATTAGGATGAATAAGTTTAAATGTTTAATAATTGTATCTACTTAGTACATGCTTATATCCTTTCTTCTTCTGCTCCCCACATTGCACTTTTTTCATGTTGCATGCTGTTTGTGTTATGGCATGCAATTTTAATTTGCATAAAGTGCAAATAAGAAGGATGAAGGAACTTACTCTCTTTTTTCATTGTTTTCTTTTCTTTTTCTTTTTTTAATAATTGAAACTAAACTGAGCATTTTTTAACTTGAATTTAACCATTCTGTTTGAATACAAATTTGCTTTTGTAGGGTGGGAGAACCTCTAATCGCCTGTTTTATCTTTCAATTCCTCCTAATATATTCGTTGATGCTGTAAAATGTGCAAGCTCGTCAGCTTCTTCTGGTAATGGTTGGACCAGGGTCATTGTTGAAAAGCCTTTTGGTCGTGATTCAGAATCTTCAGCTACTTTAACAAAATCTCTCAAGCAGTATCTGACCGAGGATCAAATTTTCAGGTTTTTTACCTAAACTAAATATCTGCAACTTTAAGGAATGTCAACTGCGTTATATAAAATGGAAAGTCTTATACAGGATTGACCACTATCTTGGTAAAGAGCTTGTGGAAAATCTTTCCGTACTCCGATTCTCAAATCTCATTTTTGAACCATTATGGTCGAGGCAGTATATAAGAAATGTACAGTTGATATTCTCAGAAGATTTTGGCACTGAAGGACGTGGCGGGTAACCTTTCTTCCTTAGTGGCATTCACACTTTCTGATCTTATAATGGGGATTCTGATGCATTTCTACATCTGTACCATATGTAGGTACTTCGACCATTATGGTATAATAAGAGATATAATGCAGAATCATTTACTTCAAATACTAGCCCTCTTTGCAATGGAAACCCCTGTTAGTTTGGATGCAGAAGATATTAGAAATGAAAAGGTCTTACATGGTTATATACCTTGAATTCAGTTTCTTTTAAATAATCATGATTTTTTATCTCCAGAATTTCAATTGCTTAATGGATGCCAGGTCAAGGTTCTTCGTTCAATGAGACCCCTAAAACTTGAGGATGTGGTTATAGGCCAGTACAAGAGCCACACAAGAGGAGGTGTTACATATCCAGCCTACATTGATGACAAAACTGTACCAAATGACAGCTTAACTCCAACATTTGCTGCAGCTGCCCTCTTCATAGATAATGCAAGATGGGATGGGGTGCCTTTTCTGATGAAGGCTGGGAAAGCATTACACACCAGGAGGTAAGTGGAAGGAATAAGTTTTGCATATGTACCTTGTGTTGGTTAAACGTATTTAACTGCTATGCTGTTTTGGGTTCAGAGCTGAGATACGGGTACAGTTTAGGCATGTGCCGGGCAATCTGTACAATCGGAATTTTGGGACAGATCTTGATCGGGCTACAAATGAACTTGTCATAAGAGTTCAGCCTGACGAGGCTATTTATTTGAAGATCAACAACAAAGTGCCGGGTTTGGGAATGAAGTTGGACCGCAGTCATCTGAATCTTCACTACGCAGCAAGGTATTTTCTTTTCTCTGAAAATCAACTTGATGAAACCCCTGAAATACATTCCACATTAATTAGTTGCTACAAAAATTTACCTTTATTCTTACTATCTTATACATTGACGTTGGTCTAATGTCCATACAATCATTGATGCATGTTTGCCACTCCATGAGTACAGGTTATTTCTTGCTTCATTAATGGAATTCAGCATTTTGGAAGATAGTAACATTTTCATATGTAACTTGACATTTTCTGTGATCATTTAAGGTAACATTTTCATGTTTTTTTTTCTTCCAGATATTCGAAGGAGATTCCAGATGCTTATGAGAGGCTACTTCTGGATGCCATTGAAGGAGAAAGAAGACTCTTCATACGTAGTGATGAACTGGATGCTGCTTGGTCACTCTTTACACCTGTATTGAGTGAGCTAGAAGAGAAAAAGATAATTCCAGAGAACTATCCTTATGGTAGTAGGGGTCCTGTTGGTGCTCACTATCTTGCAGCCAGATACAACGTACGGTGGGGTGACCTTATAGATGTTGACCAATAACCCTCACTTTTTGTTGATTAGCCTCGTATGTTAGCTAACATGCATGTTGATTTGAGGTTTCTTGTTGGAGTGTATCTTTTATTTTATTTTTTTATTTTTTTCATGTTATTGGAATGGTTACTTCCCTAGTTGAAGACAGGTGCTAGGCATGCATGAAATCATGTAAAGCAATAAAGCATCAAAGTTCAAAGATGAGATTTTTTAATAAAGCAATGAGATTTTTGTTATTTTTGGGTTTTTGTAGTTGATTGGGAGGGGTGAGAATTGGGACAGTTTGGACGGCGATAAAGTTTCATGTAGTTGCCAATCAATCTAGCTAGGTAACCTGTTTTGATTCTAAATTTATATACTTATTGCTTTTTGTGAAGGGATACGATGAATGTTTATTTATTTATTTGGGGAAAGATATTGTAACAATCAATTAGTGTTACTACCAATCAATTTCACTGTTAGATCGATTATGTTGATCGAACGATTATATTTATTTTCATCTTTGTATGGTTATAATTCACAATATGTAGTATTTTATATTTATTTTCACCTTTGTATGGTTATGATTTTTCATATTTAATATGAAAGTATTAAACATAGAAAATCATAACCATATAAAGATGAAAATAAATATAACTGTTGGATTAACATAATTGATCTAACGGTGAAATTGATTGGTAATAACATTGATAGTAACACTAATTGATTGTTATAATATCTTATCCCTATTTATTTTATGCGTACTCTACTTATATTTTTTAATCTCTAGATTAGAATCTCAATTAATTTTTATTATTTCTCTTTGTTTTTGAGATTATAATTCAACGGTGTTGGAAATAAGTAGGTAGAATAAGCATGAAATAAAAATGGGTATACTATTCTCTCTCTTTTGTAAAACATCAAATTATAGGTGGAAAATGAAGAAAATTGGTTTGTATCTCAACTCGTTCATGAGTTCCCACTGATGAACGAATCGTATCATGTGTAGCAGAGTCCTCCAATTGAACCAATCGTATTACAAAGCAATATTATTACTAATTGCACATCCTGCGAACATGGAGAGGGGGAAGACTGAAAATATTATTATTAACAATTAACAAAGTTCGGTTTAATTCAGACACCGTATTCAATTATTGATTATTTGTTATATATTTTTTGGCAGCATTCATATCAATAATGTGGCATACTTTTAAGGGTTACACGAGAAAAAATTTTAATGCATAGGGGGCATTGAAGTCGGTATTTTCTTTTATTAAATAGAAATTTTTTTAGTAGGACTTAAGAGAAATTAAAAAAAAAAATGAAATAAAAAATTTATTCAATAAAAAGAAGCACCAAACTCAATACTATCGGGGGCATTAAAGTTTGGGTAAGTTATGTTGCATAAGAGGATATATATTTTATATTCTGAAACAAAATCAAGTTAGGTGTTATTTTAATTTTTTTAATTTTTTTTAAATATGATCTACTTTTATCTTATGCAAGATAAAATTAGTTTTACCTTAAGTTTTTCTCGTGAAACACATGTTCTTCAAAAATTTCTGTAAGGAAAAAGTATTTGTCTTTTTTTGAATGACATAACTTATATTATTTCATTCTTACAAAGAGGTGGACTCACATCTTTATATTTTTTTGTCCACTTCTCTTCTCTTTTATCTATCTCTTTCTCTCACTTAAAATGACACAACTTTACATTGTTTAAAATGATACACAACTTAAAGTATCTATCTGTACGTGTGGGGGGGCCTCCTGTGTGACTCTTTACCATGATTGGATGGGATAGAGAAAAGGGGAGAGGGACAAAAAGAAAAAAAAATTAATGTGGCAATACACTTACATCGGATGTGTCGGTACTCTGTCTTCCACATTTGCTTTTTATATTATGCTAATATCTTATTATCTTTTATATTCATATTTTTTAAATAGATTTTATAAAAAAAAATTCTCTCATTTTTAAATTTTTTTTTCTATTTATTATTTGGAGTAAGAGGTTTTTTTTTTCTATTTATTGTTTGGAGTAAGAGATAATAATTTTTTTTTCTTTTTTTTGGTGAGAAAATAATACTTTTTTTATACAACATAAAAAAAATATTACCCATATTATTATCTTTCCCTAGAGATAAAATTATGTTATGTAATTCTAAAATAATATGGGGTTTTAGAGAGAAAAAATAAAAGGTATTTTGTAAAAAAAATTATTGTAAGAGAAAAATAAAATTTATAATGCTCCACCACCATTCAATAAATCTTGTTTTCATATATCCTTTTAATAATTTTATATATAAAAAAATATTTTTAAATTTAATATCCAAAACATTATTGTTACAAATATTTTTTTTATTGAATAGGTAATGTTATATATCGATAAAGACAGTGTCACATTGATTTTTAAAATATGGAAAATAACATGATAATAAATAGAAATAGAAAATGTTTATAAAAAAAAATAGAAATAGAAAATAAAAGAAGATTAAACTCTTAAGAAATAAGAGAAGCAAAAGTATATAATCAAATATCAGATTAATTAAACCTTCTTAGCTTGCTGCTTTACTTTCCAATCACAATTTTCTTTGGGCGCAATTAATAAAATACGAACTCTAATCAAGGATTTTATTAAAGAAATTGAAAAAACCTTAGCAAGGAAGGGAACTAAAAGAAAAGGAAGCCATCTTTGTGTAAGTTGCATATGAGTGAATTTACCCACCCAAAATAAAAAATGCTGCACGTGGACGGAAAGAGGAGAGATTATTTGATGTATTCACTCAACACTACACACAACCTAAGGGGGACAGAAATAGTGGCGGAGCCCGAAGAAAAATTCAGTCAATATCAAAAGATTCAATCAAATAGATTTCAGTCGATGTCAATGTTATATTATTTTTTTAAAATCAACCACTGTTAAGTTTGTAACATAATTTTTTTGAAAAATATATATCATTTTTAAGAATTAGCTCATGCTAAGGCACCGGCTTGAGTAGCAAGTGACTTCGCCACCGGAAAGAAACAATAAAAATACCTCTTTACGACAAAGGCAGGATTACTGCAAATAGATGAGAGCTGCAATTATTTTGGTTGCGGAGAGGGATATATATTTGGGCAATATTACTCTTATGTAATAGATTTTTTTTTTTATCTTATGCTTATACATCGATACTTGTGCCAATTATTTTTTATTTTATTTTTTTATTGGGCCCCATTTTAAATTGAGTGTGTAGATGATAACAAAATTTTTACGTGACATGAGACTACAATTACCTTATATATTTAGTAGGGAATTCAACCTATCGTAGGATTGTTATCCTTCATTCTTGTAGAATTGAAGTCATTAATAGTTATTACTTTATGAGGGGTAATATCTTGTATTTATTTTTTAAAAAATAGATTAAGTATTTATTGGTTGTTGAGTTTTCTGATACGACTCTTGCTATCCTAATTATTTTTTTAAATGGCCGTGGTTTATGGGTAATGCTGTATAGCATCAAACTTTCTTAAAAAAGTATTGATCACTTATCTTTCTTTTTTTTTTCAACCAAATTTCTTTTTTTTTTTTTTTGGTAAGCAACCAAATATCAACCTAGGGATGATAAGATGAAAACTTATATTTTATTATTATTTTTAATCAAATATCAACCTAGGGATAATAGTCCACATGATACAAATTATTGACAAGTTTTTAATCATTTAAATAATAATTATTTACATAAAATAATTCTTATGAAATATAATTGAACTTTCAATATACTATTTTTTTATATTCATTTTTTGAATTGATGGATAAGGTTGTGACATGTGTTGATAGTTTTTATCCATTTATGTTTATTTTTGTGAATTTAGAAATTTATTTTAAATTATTAGATAACCTGGAATATCCATGTAAATATAGTTGTCTCCAATGGATAAGAAATGAATATTTGCGATGGATACAGAGAAAGGTACATACACACTAGCGTCAACTCTAGCATCCATATGCATCCACTGTATAGTGCTAACTCATTTTTAATTTTTAAACAATTTATACAAAAGAGACATGTTATAGCCTATAGTACACTCTTAGAATTCAGGCGCTCGAGCTCCAATCACATAATACACTCTTTTTCTTGAGAGAGTGACCATTTTGTCACGCTTCACCAAATTATTTATCAGACTGCCACCGAATAGTAGAAATTCTCGGAATGCCACGCGGCATAATTCGCTCCACGGTGCAGCGAATTATGTTTGCAAATAATTTGCTACCCAGTGTAGCGAAATATGCAGTGTTAGGCTGCACAGTCAGCAAAAATTGTTGGATATATGCTCTTTTGGTCACTAAAGTCCTATTGGGCTTCAGTGACACTTGAGCCCATGAGGCTTAGGGTTGAGTTATGTCTAAGACCTAAGCATATATATTCATAGTTTTCTCCTCTTGTGCCTCCAAGGTGAACAGATCATCAGAAACAAACCAAAGAGACAGACGTTCATCATCTGAACGAGTGCCCACACACTTCCCCTTCCTCCTCGAGAGATAGTTTGGAAGATCTGCCACAGTCCAGCTTCAAGGAGGTTGTTCGTGCTGCGGCGCTGAGGTGAGCTGTTCGTGAAGAGAAATCCTACAAGGGAAGATTCTACACGAGACCTGCGCACCGAGAGGTAATTGTGAAACAAGGATAATTCGGTAAGCATACCAATGTACTAGGTCCTAAACCGCTTCCGCATAAATCTAAGATTTCCTACAATTGGTATCAGAGCCTTGGCTGTACATTGGTATGTGAATCTAGTTTCACTATTCATGTAATTAGTTTTGCTTCTTGAAATATGGCACCTAGGGTTCTAGGATTATGGTATGAATCTAGCATGTGTATTTTATAATTCATTTTCATAAAAGTTTAAATTTTAATCGGTAAAAATGCTTTAATCCATGGTTAGGGTCTCTCGTGTATTTCTCGATTTGTAACAAGGAGGCTAATCTCATATGATTAGGTTTCCTCCTTGCTGTTTTTGTTTATTTTTGGAATTTCTGTGTATTTTTTCAATATTTTGTAAAAGTTCAAGATCGAGAAATCGCAAGGAAGATGCGCAGTCAGCACTGTCGGAGACTTTTCGAGGACTTACTGATCTCGGAATGGGGCGATCTATATATGGTTGGAAAGAGGACGGAAATACAAACGCAACGGTGGGTGGATCGCCGCCATCTAAGACTCCACGCTCCGCCACGCGCCTCCACAAGAGGCTGAGAGTGGCCGC